TGTCTGAGAATAATGACATCTCTGATTTTGAATCAGGAGATGAAGAACAATTTGAAGCATTTAGTCTGACTTACTGAAGTTAGGCACGGGATCACAAAGGTACCTAGCATGACTAATATCAAAAGCAGGACAGAAATAAAAGCAATTTTATAAATGTTGACACTTTGGGGATTTTTGTATTTTGATAACTTTTGAGGCAAATTCTGGTGAGCTGTTTAAATATTTAAGCCCGTGCTTTTGGAATTTCTCTGAGACTTCTATTATCAACATTACATAAGGAAAAGAGTTTGTAGGTTCACCGCAATATGACCAGGGAATCCCATGTTTAAACTAAGCCTTCTAACTTTAAAGGAAGATTAAAGATTAGATGGAAGAGTGATTTCTTGAGTTTTTTTTTGTTATGGTAAGTCGCCATGAGAAATGTTCTGAATTTCTAGGTTTATTCAACAAACACACGAGGAGTCACATCTGTCAGTATCTAAATCCTGACACTTAGAAAATGACTCTCAAAAAAGGATTGAGTTATACATTTTCATGCATGCATAGTTTTTCTCAGAAAAGTAAGTGTATTATTGTAAGTGTATTTATTGTTAATAAAATAAATACAAAGCCTACTCATGAGCCAACTGAGCAAAATACTGACATCCAAAGTTTCAATGGCTTGAATTCAGACAACCACCAAGACAGACAGCTAAGATAGTAGACTACTAAGGAAGTTCATCAGCTTCACTGACAAGCCATGGTGCCAGAAATAGCTATAGGAAGCTCCATCGGGAAAGTCATGGACCCAACCTAAACTGAAACAAATGTGATATCTTTGGATTCTCAGAGATGTATATTGAAAGTCCCATTGCAACTTTTATGATAAGCAAAGCAAGACAAAGGGTTAAAGATTACTGTTATCCTTCAAGAATGTGCCCTTCTCACCAAATACTAAATCCCTATTGAAGAAGTGTTTTACTAAGGCTTGACAATGCAAGCACTGGACACTTCTGATTCTTCTGGGCTAAACACCACAGCTGAGAAGTGAGAGGAATAATATGGCTGTACACAGTAGTGTGACTTACATTCTGTATTAAAAAAATAGTTTGAAGACAGAGTAGATTTTGTAAAAGGTCATTTTGTTCCATGTTGTACAAGTTCACTATAAGAAGAGAATTAATCCATCTGGAACACTGGGGTAGTACAGTGCTGCACAGAAAACACACACACAAATGGTTATTTTAAAACTGTAGTAGAGTCCCTCTTTGGTTTGTACATTGCCAAGAGCAGTGGTTTCTCCAACTACAAATAAAGCTCAATATGCCCCTTAGATAGCTGTGGCCTAGGCGTGGTGCAGTGGTTCATGTAGATTATCTCAACTTTGACTAAAGTTGAAAATTTCAAGGCTATATAATCTGGAATAAGTGGTTCAGGAATGTTCCAAAAGTTATAAAGTTTTTCAGATAAGATGGTAGGTATATTAGCAACATTTTGTTAGACAAAGATAATTATGGATTTGAACACCAATGGTCTGGATTCAAATTTTGAAACTGCCACTTAACCTAAACCAAGTTCCTAGCGTCAAGCTTATTTCTCTGTCAGTTGGAGCTGTTGATCTCTAAGCTATTTACAATGACTGTGTCTCTCTTCTGTGTTCGTTGCTGACACGAAATGTTAAAAAAATCACACAGTCATTATATGCTTTTAAATAGTAAATTTTGACATCATTCAGTTAAATAAAAGCTTGTTTAAGTCTAAAAAATTATCACAGGGTAGTATCTTCAGTAGTAGTAGTAAAATGTGTATTCCACACATCCACTCTATATATTTCTGTATCAGAAAAATAAACCAACCAAATCACAGATTCTGGGTAGTATGTTTCCATCATTTGGCGTATGGCAGAGCTGATGAAATCTACATGGTGTGATAGCAATTGTAAGAGTGTTCTGACCATCACAAAGGGTATGGAGTCTCACAGACCCAGTTTTCTGATATAACCGACAGTACACATCTGCTGAGCCCTACACACTCAGCCAGCTGACTCCATACCCACACAGTTGTAGGGGCACGTGCACAAATATCTGAGTACAGGGGAGATTTGGGTAAGAAGTTCTATTTTTTCAGTTACTAGTTTTTTGTACTTATGGCTTGCTAAACCATCTTAATTTAGCACACTGCAGAACATTTGCTTCAGGATATTTCTTTGTTCTTCCTACAATTTATAACATTTCGGTTTGGTCTCAGGGATTAATTTTGATCAATGCAAAGAGTTGATACTCTCTAGTGAGAAAATACATACAGTGTGGGAAATATGTTTTCCCAAGTCACATTCCCCAGAGTATTTAAAAATATAGTTTACTTTAGACACGCTAGATAGATACTATATCTTTACTCTTGAAGAATATTGAAGTAGATTTCAAATCAATTAATACTCTCTGTTCGTATTAGTTCTTAAGAGCTAGATAATACACACACAAATTTGAATATATTCACATGAATAATTTGACTGCTGATGTTTTATTTGTTTTTCTGAAAACCCAACTGTCTCAGAGAATAGAGGGAAAATATATTAATTTTCTTCTGAGCGAATTCACTGCACTTCAGTGGAAATAATAAACCTTATAAGAAATGCCAAATGTTTTCTCTTGTGTGGTAGGTAGGTGGCAAGTAATGAGACTGGTTATCCTTGACATGAAAACACCACATGCCTTAAATATCACTGCTCATCTAATTGAAGGTGATATGAATGACTGATGTTGGCACTAGGGTCTTCGATTAGGAATCTCCATATATGTGATATTACCTTCCCCATGGCCTGGAACAGGAATCATCAACTGAAAACTAATATAGTCTTCTCTTTATTTTTATCCAAGCCACAGAGGAATTAGTTTGAATCAGCAGAAACTTAAAAGTCAGAGAGTGGTAATTTTAGCTCTCTGAAGTGAATATAGCAAAAATCTAGCATTCATAAAATAAAATTCACAGTATTTGTCAGACAGAAAGAATTACCAGAAAAGACAGGAAATGAATAAATGAGATTTAGACCCAGTAAGCAAATTCAGCCAAAAGAAACAGAATTGTAAATGACAAAAGACAAAACAATCAAGTCATTATTTTATATAAAAATAAGTGAAGGGTTTGAGGAAGAGAAAAAGTACATGATAATAACAATTATTTATAAAAATATAAAATGAAACTTAAGAAACTTTCACAGTTTAGATAATGTAGATAAAAAACCCAATGCACTCATAGATATAACTTAGCAAATATGCAAATTATGAGGAACCAAGGAAAAAGAAACTGACAAAATAAGGTTACAGTGGTAGATGGGACAGATACCAGTTAACTTAAATCCCACAAGTGTTTTTTCCAAGCTAGTCTTACATTTAAACATACGTGCAATAATGGTAGGATTGGAGAGTAGAGAATTAAGTTGGAAGATGAAGATAGAAAGCAGCACTGGCTTTTGCTGTGCAGAACTCACATCTCATTTCACCTTCAAAATGAGCAGATGTGCTGGCTATGCAAAGATTATGTTGACAGAAATTGTGAGATGCATTGGAGGACAGACACAGCCTTTGGGAACTAGAGATTAAAACCATACCATCCTGAATTCAAACATGCCCCTGCATATTGCTTCTGGAAGCTAAAATGTGTGTCAATGAATCTATTTCAGGGCATTTTTATCCATGGATTCCATGTTTGAGAAATACTGTTTGGCTTTACATTATTTCTTTGGAATTTCCTTGGAATTCAAACTTTTCAAAATATGTTCTGTGAATGAGGACACATTTTTGTTCATAAGGCAGGCTGAAATTTGATGACATGTGCTCTGTCAGTGGATTCTAGAATCGTTTGCAGTCAACAAAGTAATGTGAAGTAGAGAAGTTGTTTAAATATTTTCTTTGATAGCTGTACCGGAGTAGTTCAAGAAAGGAGTTTCATGTATGAAGCAATGATTTGTTAAAACATCACGGCACAATCTTCTGAGCATAAATGAGAATGTCCAAAGGAATAACCAAACATTTTATTATATGTGTGTATGTATATTTGCTTATATACATATACAAATGGAGAAAACAAAAGAAGACAATTTGAATTTTAAGTGTGTGTCAGCCAGCTGGGCAGTGGTATCACACGCCTTTAACCCCAACACTTGGGAGGCAGAGGCAGGTGATCTCTGTGAGCTTGGAGACCAGTGTTGTCTACAAGAGCTAGTTCCAGGACAGCCTCCAAAGCTGCAGAGAAACTCTGTCTCAAAAAAAAAACCAAATAAATAAAAGTATGTCAGCCATTTTTAGGTGGGAGTCCTTTTTATGTCTTCCTTCTCCAACCTGGAATGTGGTCATCACATATATTTCATCCAATCATATGACCTTTGGGGACTCTTACATATACTTCCTTTTATATGTCCAATTTCTATTACAGTGCATGAATCAGAGAGCCAGTTATTAATATTTACTGTAAAATAAAGAGGAAAAAGAGAACGAAAAGAAAGAGTCATGATGGATGAGAAAATATGAAAAAATAGTGCTGAGGCATTTTGGTGTGAGTTTCACTTAATTTCTCCAAGATAAGCAACCACTACTAGGATAACTTCAAGCATTAAATATTGTGTTTGGTTTTTATATTAAATAAGTCTTCTATTCTATTTCTTTACTAAGTTGCATTGACTCAACGAACACAGATTACAAATGATAATGATGCGGGTGAATGGATGGATGGATGGATGGATGGAGAGACTGATAACAGATAGATAGATAGATAGATAGATAGATAACAGAGGTATGAACAATCAATAACCCTACTTCTCTATCTTGAGTCAAAAGCACATTTTCCAAATAGCTTGCTAAAATAAAGATTAACACTTCTTGTTCTACTGAGGAAAACAGTCATTCCACTACAGAAGGGAAGCCCTTTGTCAGCACTAAATCCTGAGTACTTTTACATACTGGTGTTTTTATGATTAGTAAATTTTCTTGCGTATAATTATGCATCATATATACTTTGTCTTTCAGGGTTTAAGCTTGAAACGACTGGAGGCAGTACAAGGCGGGAGAGAGGTAAGAAAGTATAAAGGGAGGAGGAGAGGGAGGAGGAGAACATGATTATGGTGGCGCAGTGATAGTGACTAAGGACATTGGTATTGTGAATATATGCATGTATATTTATGAAAATATATGTATGTTCTCTCTATCTTTATAATTATGTATGTATGTATGCATGTGTATTGCTCATATGTTTCCATATATTCTTGGGAAAGCAGGCTATACACATGTTTAAGGATATATATTATTTGTGTTTACTCCTCTGGAGTGGAAGAAAATACTGTTTGTCTGGGTAAGGAATGTTTCTGTTAACTGGGTTTCTGCAACAGGCTCTCAGAGGGCTCAGAAAAGCCTTTTAGGCAAAACTTGGAATGTAAAATGTCTACTAGGAATTCATAGAATTAATGTCAGGCCGGATATGTTCATAGATGGTGTACAGTTGTTCTGGTCACACTAGAGTTTGTAGGTCTATTTCCCCAAATGCCTTTTCAAGCAGGAGAAATCACAACAGTTGTTATATGACATCTTATTAGGAATGCTACCTTTGTAGAATTTTATTATTATTTTCTGTGACATTTATGTATCAAATTGTCTGAAAAAGTGGAGATGTTTATCTCTTACAAAATAAGAAAATAAGTCTTCATCCTCCTGTCCCTTGTTGCTTCTTACTCTACAAACGGACTTCTTCCCTAGTGAGTGACATTTGTTCCTTAACTCACTATTCTTACACTTAGGGATTTTTCTGTATCTGGCATTCTGGTTCTCTCTGTACTTGTCATTTATAGCCTCTTTCTCTTTGTCTTCTGCTTTCCATCCAGAGGAATTTCTTTTTTCTCTTGGTGGCTCACATCAGAAAAATAACTGAAGAGGAAGAAATACAGAAAAATTCTTTAGGTGTTTTTCATGATCTAAGAGGCCAAGATTCCAGACACAATAGGATGGATGGATGCACATACAGACTTAGAGAACAGTGAGGCAGCATGCATAGATCTGCATAGACTCATGCAAAGCAAAAACTTCACTCTAAAATACCAGCCCCCTGAAATAGAAGTTATTTGTAATTGATAACTATGCCTAGGAGTAATTAGGCAACACAAAAAATTGATGCATTTGGGGGGGTCTTTTTGTTTCAGTTTGTTTTGTTTTGGAATTTTTGTCTTTTGCTATTCACTTTGATTTTCAGTTTTAGAGAGAGAGTGTGTGTGTGAGAGAGAGGCAGAAAACATGAACTTGGGTGGGTAGGGAAGTGGAGAGGATCTGGGACAATTTGAGCAGGGGGAACCATGATCAAACTATATTTTATGAAAAAAATAAAAATATTGATTCATAAGCATAATGACCTCTCATTTCTTTTTATTAATGTTCTGTTCTAAGGGAGAAAGAGAAAGGTACTTTACAGTTTATCAAAACATAATCAAATTCATACCATAAAACAAATATATCTTTCTGGCAATTCTACAGTGCTGAAATATTAAGAAATTACAGTTAATAAAAGGAAGCATAAGAACTGCAGAACCTGCATAAAACTGAACTAGTCCCTCTGAATGTGGATGGCAGTTGGATGGCTTGGGTAGCTTGTGGGTCCATTAGTAGTGGAACCAGTATTTATCTCTAGTGTATGAACTGGCTCTTTTTGGAGCCCATGCCCTATGGAGGGATACCTTGCTCAGTCTAGATACAGGGGGTAGGGCCTTGTTCCTGTCTCAAATGATGAGACAGACTTTGCTGATTCCCCATGCGAGGCCTCAGCATCTCTGAGGAGTGAATGGGGGTAGGTTGGGGTGGGGGGAAGGTGGGGAAAGAGGAAGCACAGTAGGGAGAGGGAACTGGGATTGGTATGTAAAATAAGATTGTTTTAAAAATAAAAGATAGAAAAACCAATAATAAAATAAATATTTTTTTTAAATTTTAAAGGAAGGATAATTTTCATGACATAGCTTTAGTACCAATATACTATTAATCAATACATGGATTTAAAATAAACCTTAAGATCAATGGTATTATCAAAGAATCTATGAAACTATGGAAAAAAACCCAAGAATCAGATACTTAAATTTGAATACAAGTTAACTGTTAAGCTGGCTCAGCAGGTGACTGTACTTGACTTCTCTTCCAGGATGACAGAATGGGTGTACATGGCTCCTGAGGAAGACCTCAGAGACTCTCACAGGTGCAACCAATGCTTTTCTTCAGAAAACGACTCACATAGCATATTGAATACCTCTTCAGTCACAGTTCACACTAAGCAGCCCTCCAACAATTCACCCACCCTTCTTGTGTGCCCTCAGGGACATGCAGTGCAGAGTAGGAAATATTTAACTCCTGTATTCATAGCATAATATTATTGAGCCACGGTAAACACAATTCATTTCATCCAGAAACATTACCTTTTAAAATTAATACCACTTTCGAAACATAGTATTTTGTCCTCACTGAAAAGAGTTCTCATTAAATTTTGTGTCTAATTTTCTCAATACCTCCATTTTTTTTAGTATACAGACAACTCTATGTAAGAAACATGTCAGTGGTGTGCTTTAAATTAAAATACACTTTCTCAAAGTATTTTTGGCATATGGAAAAATCAAATAGCATATTTGTATATATATATACATACACACACACATATATATACTATAATACATATTATGCTTATACATATATTTATGAGAGGGGCCTTAAATTGGGGTCTCCAATAACTGAAGGTGAAGATTTGATCATCAAATGAATGTTAGCTCAGTAATGACTTCTCCATTTGATTCTTTATTTGCTCTGGACATAGAAAAAATATGAACAATTAAAATTAAAAACAGCTACTTTGTTTTGGGGTATAGGTTCACTACGTAATTTGAAGTCCTTCAATTTAATTTAATCACTTATGTTAGCTTTATCCATGACTTCGAAAGCTGATGTGTCTTATGGTAGTTAACTCCCTGGAAATTGAAGACAATTAGGTAAAGTGTGTGGTGGAAGACATTTTGTCAAGTCTCAGAGGTTGCCCAACTGCAGAGATGCAATTACGATTTCTCTAGATTAAGAGAAGTGACAGACGTCTCCTTGATTCCTGCTGACAGTTCTACTATGTGTACATATCACAAAGAAGTGAATTGTGCCTCTGAACAGCTAAATTTTAATACGCTTACTTTCAAAGCCATCTAAACAGCCTCTTAGAATTTCTCACTGTGAGTCCATCATGACTGATTAAGATTTAACTATAATGATGCTGCTTAAGATGAATTACTTGATCTTAGTTCAAATGACAGACATTCCCAATAGGTGTTGATGGATGTAATACTGAGGACCTATTGCCAAATATTTATAGGAAGGTTTAAGAAATGTCACTGAACATGTTCTATTTACTTCTTGAGGTAATGATAACAGCTAGAGCATGTACAGGAAATTGAAACAGGCAGTAATGTGCTATTTAGGTAACTGGTAAATTCTGTTACAAAGCTAACAACCAGGCAGGAATATCAGATTTGGATACTACTGTCCATGCAAAAACCATTTCTCCCTGTACAGGGAATAAGAGATATTTTCTTCTGGTTTCAAAAATGAGTGGCCATCGCCCAGGAATACATATTCAGGTTACCTCAGATTACATCTTCCAACATGGATTAAGTTTCATGAAGTTTTTATAGTGACATAATGAAGAAAGTAATGAAGAAAATCATTTATCAAGAGAATTTCAAATACATTGGTAGGAAGAGTAATTGGGTGGTTATCTCACAGCTCAGAAATCTTATCTCATCTATAGGCCTCAAATGTAATCTTAGTCTTTTGGTTGGTGTATAAACTAGGGTTTTAAAAAATTATGAATTTTTCTTTAAATTAACAATAGTATTATTTTACATGCCAATTATAGTTCCCTCTCCCTCCTGTCATCACATTCCCTCCACCATCTCCCCATCCTATACCCCATTCACTCCTCAGGGAGGGTGAGTCCTCTCATGGGGGAATCATCAAAGTCTGTCATATCATTTGGGGGAGGACCTAGGTCCTTGCTTGTGTATCTAGGATGAGACAGCATCCCTCCATAGGGAATGGGCTCCCAAAACCCATTCCTGCATTAGGAATAAATAACTGGTTCCACTGCCAAAGTTCCCACAGACTGCCCAGGCTCCAAAAATTTACACTCACTTCAGTCTTATGCTGGTTCCCCAGCTGTCATTCTGGAGTCTATGAACTTCCACTTGCTCAGGTCAGCTGTTTCTGTGGATTTCCCCAGCATGGTCTTAACCTCTTTGCTCATCACTCCTCCTTCTCTAAAACTGGATTCCAGTAGTTTGGCCCAGTGCTAAGCTGGGAATCTCTGCTTCTGCTTCCTTCAGCTACTGGATGAAGGCTCTGTGATGGCATTTAAGGTAGTCATCAGTCTCATCATAGGGTAAGGACATACGATGGCCTCTCTAGTTTTGCTTGGATCCTTAGCTGGGATCATCCTTGTTGATCCCTTGAAATTTCCCTAGAGCTAGATTTCTTGTTAAGCTTGTAACATCTCTCTGTTCTTTCCCCAACTCTACCTTCTTGGTCCCTCATGTTCTCCTCCCCACTCTCCTTCTCCCCTCCTTTTTCTCCTCCCTCCCCCCATGATCCCAATTTACTCAGCAGATGTCTCTTTCCATCTTCTCAGGTAGGGTCCTCCTTGTTTCCTAGCTTCTCTGGGGTTGTGGATTGTAGTCTGAATATCCTTCGTTCTATGTCTAATATTGACTTATGAGTGAGTACAGAGAACGGCAGCCTACAGAATGGGCAAAGATCTTCACCAACCTTACATCTGACAGAGGACTGATTTCCAAAATATACAAAAAACTCAATCTAGTCACCAAAACACCAAATAATCCATTTAAAAAGTGGGGTACATAACTAAATATAGAATTCTCAATACAGGAGTCTAAAATGGCTGAAAGACACTTGAGAAACTGCTCAACATCCCTAGCCATCAGAGAATTGCAAATCAAAACAACTCTTAGATACCATCTTACACCTGTCAGAATCGCTTAAATCAAAAACACCAA